GCTCAACAACAGACAGTCTAAGAAGGTTTAGCACATGCATTGTAATTTGGAACATTCATGGCTTTAGTTGTAAACTACAGCCAACAAACTAGAATGGTTAGTGATGACAAAAGGAAGAATTTTACAGCAAAACAAGCTAGAAACCAGGAATCTTGAAAAGTGGCGACAAAGGTGAACAAAGTTATGGAAAATATAAATTTTACTCAACTGGAGGGAAAGAAACACAATCAATCATCTGGAACAGGAAAAGTGAAAAACACAACTGAAAGTAAGAAAAATATTGAGTGTTATAACTGTGGGGAAAAATGGTCATTACATGAATGAGTGTTAATACAAAAAGAAGGTCAATGTTCCAGAGAGAGGGCAGCAAAATTTAAACTATTTGTGGGTTGATCTTGTGGTGCTCAGATCAGCTAGTGGTAGACAATCTCCACACATGAAGAGTGTAGAGGAAGAGACTTTTATGTATGATATGTAGATAGCAAGAGAGAGAGCGATGGAATCAAGTGTCAGAGGACTGTAGGTACTGGATCCAATTGGACATTGCTACATTCAGGACTTTTGGATCAAAGGTACTTTCCACACTCTGAAGAGAAACTGAGTGGAGTAACTGGGTAACCAGCACCTTTAAATGGTCTTGGAGAGGTTAATTTGAAAATCTAAGATTTTGGGTATGCAGAAAGTCTATACTGCAGACAAAGAATATAAATGTCTCTTATGACTCAATTTTGATATGTAAAAGGGTGCTAGCTTGACTTTAAAGTGTTGACATTGGAAATTTATGGAAAGAAGCTGCAACTAAGATTGTTTAAGCAAAAACAGTCTATTTTAAGAGCTAAGGTGAGAGTAAAGAGAGCTGAGCCTGAGATGATAATTTATTTTAACACCATTGGTCCTGGATTCAAGGAACCTACAGTTGTGGAGAGACATCCTGATGTGAAGTTGTCAGTAGGTGTATTGGTTGGACATATTATGGTGCAACCTAACAAATGATATTTTCATAAAGTTGTGGCAAATTTCTCAGGTGAGAAATTAGACAGTGTGAACTGATAAAGATTGTGGATCCCTCAACAGAACAACAGAAGTGTCAATTAAATTAATTGGAGACCTCCTGATGCATTTGCAGCACATATATGAATGAAGCTCTATGTATTTGTCATCATGGAGCAGCAAGAATTAAAACATCTATTTAAGCCAGTGCAGATATTTTCTCCAAAGCACCAAATGATCTTGGAAGTACCTACACGACAGAAAATCGAATTTATACTGGTAATAAACACCCTATTAATCAAATACCAAGATGACATCTCTGGGCAAAAAAGAAAGGAAGCTGAAAATATGTCCAGAACTTGAAGTGCTTATTGAGAAGTTAGAAAGTCTATGATCTTCAAATGTTGTATTGTCAGAAAGATGGATCCACTAAATATTATATTGATTACTGAATGGGATTACAGTGAAGGATTCTACTCGCTTCAACATACTAGCACAAGTACACAGTGTAGTGGAATGTTAACAGACAAAAATAGGATAAATTAAACTCAATTGTGATTGAATAGTTATATATATTGCTGTATGTTAATTCTTGCCTGTGCATAGGAACTTAGTATGAGTATACACAGACAGACACACATCACATAGGTTAATACTATAAGTGATATTGAAGTGTATGTAATTTGCCCAAGCCATGCGAATTTGAGAAAAGAGAGATTATAGACTGATCAAAATATGAAAAATGATATGGGAAACAGTCATAAAACATATTCAGACAAGATCCTCTGTGGATGAAACCACAGTACAGGGAACTAAATAATGCAAAATCTTAAAAGGTTCATGTCCTCCAAAACCGTTGTTGGATCCTGTTAGGATTGTGAAAAAGTGCAAAGAATCATCTTTAGAAGAAGTTTACAGTATGTTTGTACCATTAAAAATATTTGAGAAAAAAATGAACTTGGGAATCACAATATATTTATTTTCTCACAAATTATTTATGTTAGAAAATAAATTTGTGTGGATACCAAGTAGGTTGTATGAAATTGTCTGGTATACCAAGAAACACTTTCTGTTGAAAAGTGTATACTTCATTACATGTGGTTCAGTACTAGCCTGGCATCTTTACATAAGACAAAGAAATGCTTGTTTTTTTAAGAAAGATATTTCAAATAATATGTATCTCTTTGAGTTAATTATTCCAAAATGTATTATCTGATGAACTGGCAAATGCTAAGTGTAACTTGTGGGTCAACACCACTTGGGACTCAAATTTACATTTCTCAACAGCTTTTAGGACACTGCTCTATGGTTAATTAGGAAAGTAAGAATAATGTAATAATATGTCAAATACACTATATCTGCTATGTTCTATATTCTGTGTTGACAAGGCCTTTCGCCCCATAAAAGTGCTCATTAAGCTGGCTGGGATATGACATATATAATTGTGTTCTATATGCTAGTTATATCATAACTTCCTTGAACAACATCTGATTTAGTTGAGTTTTGGTAAACTTTAATTTTTGTTCTATGTTTCAGTTGTTTTATCATCTTTTTCTTATCTATAGATAAATAGCCTTAATTTGACAACATTATATAACTTCTTTTGTAAACTGTAAAACCTTTAAATTAAATTATAGTAAGATATGAAAATATATGCATTGGTTTTAAAATGTAAAATTATTTTTAACTGTGAAATATATGTTTGTTTGTTTGTGTGTGTGTGTATGTATGTATATATGTATGTAATTTTGAAATATATGTTTGTTTGTGTCTGTGTGTGTGTGTGTGTGTATGTATATATGTATGTAATTTTGAAATATATGTTTGTTTGTGTGTGTGTGTGTGTGTATGTATATATGTATGTAATTTTTGTAGGAGAGTTTATAATTGAAAATTTATCATTAAAGAAAATAAGAAAAGAATAAGAAGCAGACAATTTCAAAAGGCCACATGATACAGGAGCTGAATTTTTTTGTGTGTGATTCAGCCATCAGTAGTTGTGTTCAATTTAATGTGTTTTATAAATTGAAAACAATTAGTTACTATGTTAAAACTATAATTTGCTGAAATATGAAAACGTAAAAGCTTTATTTGCAGTCATTCTTTGGATTAATGGTCCACTTTTTTACTTTTGTACTTTTGGATGCTAGTTTACACTGTTCCACTTATTTCTCCATTGTAAAAGAAGTAGTAATTTATATATATTTGCATGAAAGTATAGTAACATAGTTATTACATGAACAAAGTTTTGTGAAGAGTGTAGGATATACAGTACTAGTTTGTCATCAAGGCTGCTTTAATGATGATGTATCATTAGTAATGAATAAGTAGATAAGGTTTATTAGCACTAGTTATCTTGTTTTGTACTGTTTTTAATTGGTTAATAGCGATAAGTTGGTTAATATAGTGTAGTTAACAAAATACTGAATAATTTCTTTTATTTGCTGAAGATAGAACAAAAAATTAAGCTATGTTATCAATTTAATTGAAACAGTTAAATTTCAGAAGTGTAAAACAGTAGTGAAAAAATAATGTGGAAATATTGAAATAATAAAACCAGAGAATTCATTCATGTTATGTTTTTATGCAACATACAAACTTGGCCTTATTGTATGGTGAAAGTTAGTCAAGTTATTGTATGCTTTGCTGCTAATTTAGACATTTTCAGAAATTTGTATTGTTGTTTAGCAGGAGGGAGGAAAGTTTAATGTGATGGGACTTGGCCATAAAGTCTAAAATTTTCTCCAAAGTTTAGGAAACAATTTGAGCCATATATAAAGAGTGAGACTGTTTGTCAGTTAATGAGTAACCAGTGCATAAATTATTTTGCCTGTAATTATCATCTAGTCACTTAGTTTAGTACTGTGAATAGTTCTGTCTGTGAACATTTTTTATTAAGATAACCATAGAATTTGAACAAATTATTATAATTTCTTTTTATTGTTAAGTGAATTAAACATTTTATTATTCTTTTTATTGATAACTCAAACAATAAAAATCATTACAACACAACTTTATTTCTAATTGCAGTTTTGGTTTTCACAAAATTTTGATTAAACATACACTATTTTTCCTCAATTTAATTTTTGGGGGGGGGTAGTGGCCTCAATCAGCGATAGCTTATAAGGACTGTGACTGTCCAGAGTTGGCATAACTCAGTAATATTTGACAGATGGAAAACACTGGCTGGACTTTACTGTTCTTTTCCACCAAAATGTAAAATTTCAGTTATAAGAAAAATTATGTTACCTGTTCTTGAAATACTTGCATCAATATACATAAACTGCAGTGAATAAAAGACAGTGTATACATAACAAATTTTTTTGTCTGATCTTGTCATTTCAAATAGTCACTGGTCATCAAACGTAGTTATTTTTTTCTGATAAAAAAAAAATTCTTGTTAAATAGCTTGAGTTACTTTGCAAAATTATTCTCATTTAGAGTGATTTACTCAAATAAGTGTTTGAAGTAATTTTAATTGCATAACAAAAATTTGATTATTTTTCATGTTATTCAAAATGACCTTTGAAGCTGTTTGGCAAAGAGGAATGCAAGTTTTTAACAATGTTATTCAGGAAAAGTTGAAATAAAGTTTTGCTGAACTGTCTACTTTTTTAAGTTTTGGAAAATAATGATCCATTATTTGCTTCAAGCTGTGAGTGAGCATTTATTGAATGCATCTATAAAGTGTTGATATCCATTAAAAGTTAGTAGTTTAACATCTGATCAAAATTAAAAGTCAACTTAGTAATGAACATAGCTAGTTCAATATACTATTATGTTATGACATGAGACCTTAAATAATGCATTATTAGTGGAGAATTTTAGTTTGTGGCTACTGTTAAGTTTTTCCCTTGTAACACTTACTGATATCTAAATTTAGTGTTATATATATATATTATATAATTTATATATAGATAAAGTGAGGTTTAAATTTGGTATCAAGGTGTTAACAGCAATTCTATTACATAAATATATTGAGAATTTGTTGTTGTTGTTTTTTCTGCTAGGAGCCTAAACAGAGTTGCAAAATGGTCACTCAGGAATTGGTAGAAGGAAAGCAAGCCACTGGAATTACGGCTCGACAGGAGAGGGTATGCTACATTTGTGAGAAGGTGGGAGATACTGTTATTTGCAAGGGGCCTTGTTTGAAAAGTTTTCATCCATCATGTCTTGGCTTAACCCAGGTTCCCTCCACCTTCATGTGTGATGAATGTATGACAGGTAAGGTAAACATATTTTACTTTGGTCCTATGGACAGAAGGAGAGATTAATTCATCCTCTCTTTTCTGTTAGTTTGTCTTCAAGATAAAAATAATTTATATACAAATCAAAGTTATGTCTCATGCTGCATTATTATTACTGGAAATAGATACGTTATTTTTATGTATTCATTCTAGGTTTTTAATCATAATACAACCAAGAATGTGTAAGTATGTAAATTCTCCTATACAAAAATTTATATTTTATATGAACATTTTGTATAAGATCACATAAAGTATTTGAACTTTGTTGCCATAATTCCCCTTCTATGCTTACAGGATTACAACACTAAAATCCAAAAGAGCTGGTCAGTTAGTGGAACTTGCTAATTAATTGATTAGTACATGCCCCCTCTACCCCCCATCTCATTCAGACAAGCAAAAAAAAAAAATACAACTTTTTCAAACACTGCATTATTTCCACATGGTATTAACATTGTTTTGTTTATTTTTTAAAGTAATTTTTGGATTACCATTAGTTCCATATAATAGACCTACTTTATGACTAAGTACCACCATATTGTCACCATTATATTTGTTTGTAAAGGAAGCAGTAATCCTACACTGATTTCCTTGCATAATAAATTGATAATTAAATAATGAAAATGTTTTTTCCTATCATCGATAATAGTAACAATATTTTTATTCAAAACATATCCCAATTGCAATTTGAAATGATTAAGTAGCCAGTTAGCCAATTTATTTATGTACATTGTTTGAATATAGTAAACATAAAAATAACATTAATTAAAGAATTGAGCCATTAGAATATTGTGCAGTTGCTTACCATACTCACCAAAGAATAAATTTATCTGATTTAATGATTATTTTATTTGGTGAACATTATAAACAAACTCATGGTTTTAAACATTACAACTCAATAAAAATCATGGTATGTCTATTAAAAGTAAAAAAACAAAACATTGGTTTTAACAAAGAACCAAACATCAACAATTTACCTATATCAAGCTTTAAGCAATAAGCAGTCTCCAGTTATGTGACTTCTTTTGTTTCATACAGTATATATATATATGGTTTTAACAAAGAACCAAACATCAACAATCTACCTTTATTAAGCCTTAAGCAATAAACAACCTCCAATTGTGTGACTTCTTTTGTTTCAAACAGTATATATATATATATATATATTCCTGTGTCTAGGTAAACTGCTTGTACCTGATGATGATAAAACTCTCCATATAATGTAATTTGTTACTGTGTTGAACTTGTAATAAAGTTTTCTTTTTTATCCATTCAATTTGTCTCTAAGCTATATAAGGTTACCTGCATTATCTCAAGTTATCTGATGTCTTCTCATTGAAGAAAATGTCTATAGCTTTCAAAAAGATATAATATAACAAATAAATACTTTCACAATTTACAAACAAAAGGAGCTCAAAGGAAAATGTATAGAAACTATAAAAAATCCTAAACCTATATATTTACTATTCTGTGATAGCCTAATTATTGCTCTTTCCAAACATATTTTAAACTTGTTTTATAACTATTTTCAAAGTGTGTTTCATTAGTATATGATCAAATCAAGGTTTCAGCTAAGGCTTGTACAAAAGCAAATGAAAACACCTAAAAATTAAAAATTGCATAACATTTTCTCGATGAGTGATTGGCTGTGAGCAAAAATAGTTATTCTTCGAGATGGGCAGAAATGAAAGTATTTACGATAGGAGTGTTAATAGTTGAGAGTTTAAATGTTAGCCAAATGTCACATGTTTTGAATTTTGCTTAATCTATTAAATGTCAAAATTGTGCAAGTCAAATCTTAAGAAACGTATGCTGCTTAGAGATTCTTTAATTGTTCACTTTCTACTTTTGTCATGTGATTCACATTTACCTTAATCTTGCATTTGTAAAAATGTATCATGCAGCCACTCAGTTTCAAACAAACTCTAAATTGCTATAATTATTAATATTACTAATAAATTATACAATTAACAAATAAATATTACTACAAAACTGAATATAAGACTGTCTGTGACAGACAAAAAATACACAAAATTATGATTATGAAAAAATATAGTTAAGTAAACAAAATCAAAAACACCCATAAACAATTGTCTGGTTTTCCCAAATACAACAATTAGTTTCAAAAATGACAGTTTGATCAATTTTAATTGGAACTACTTTTTTGACATATCACCAGCGTAATCTCCTGCTCTATAGAGATACAACAAATTAATGTAAAAACAACCAGACTATAGCAATATCCTCTTCAAGTTCTGTTTAGTTTATTTTAATATGAAGGAAGACCAGAAAGCAAAATGTAGGCTGTGCTCTACAAAGTTTAGTTATAGGGGCAGTATGGGAACAATGTTAAACCATATCAAAATGAAGCATCCTGCTGGATCTAATGTAGAGGACAGGGGCCTAGACAAACAATTATACAAACGTGTTTATGGCACTGGTATACTATTTCTGTAATAATGTGATTAAAGCTTGCTGTCTAATCAAAAACAGGACATTATTGTATTCCAGATATCTTTCATGTTACTTCACTAATTTTATATATCTGTACAAGAATCAATAGCACTTTCTCAGTATTTTGTTTCAAAATTGACATAACAAGCTTAAAACCTTTTTTTTTAATTTTAAGCATGTAATACATTAAAGGACTCTATCATCTCTATTTGGGCCATAAATGTTGTATCTATAACTACATGGTTACTTAAACACTTTGTAACCATTCAAGGGAAATTAATACTCATAACTTCTTTTATTTATTAGGAAAATGAGTACTTACCAGAGTGAAAACCTAGTATTTTATGTTTTTCTTCAAGAAGCCTAAATATGAAGTCAAACAACAAATAATGTAAATTGATATTATTCTAATATAACTATAAAGTTTATTTGGATAAAATTGTATTATTATGTTAACAAATATCAATGGTATTTATCTTCTCCACACTAGCTGCAGTAATATTTCAGTTTTAAAATGTTATCTAACTTTTGAATCAAATCTCCAGCTTATGTTAGAGAGAGACTTCCATTATAATAATGTAATATTTTGGATTAATCTGCAATGACCTTATAGTGCTAAAGTAACCTAAATAATTCTAACAAATTTAAAATAACATTATTATATGATTAGCTTAGTCAGTGATTTCAAAGCTTATATCTTCATATTTAGTCCCTCAGTAAGTTATGGACTTACAACTCTAAAATCCTAGGTTCAATTCCCCATGGTAGACATAATGTAGATAATCTATTTTGTAGCTTTGTGCTAAAACAAACTTTATTTCTAGTAATGATATGAAAATAAAAAAACAGTTAAAACAATAAATTCAAATTATTTAACTAAAATTAAATCATATTTAGACAGAAGTAGTGAGAGCATTGGCATTGGTTGCTTTCCAGCTAGACAGCAGTTCAAAATTAGTGACAGTTGCAGATATCCTTAGCAGCTTTATAATAAAGACAGGATGAGTAAGTTTAGTGGCAATGGGAATTGAACATAACTTCAAATCATGAGGAACTTCCCTCTCCTACTTTTATGCAGCTTTGTGCTTAACAACAAACAAACATATTGGCAATATTTTGGATATATGGAATAATCAGAAACTTTAATTTTGATTAGTTGAATATTTTTATGACAATCAATTTAATTGTACTTTTGATTAATTGATTGTTGGAACAATCAAAGACAGTAATAATTGGAAATGCTAATTTTGATTTGTTGATTATTTTCATGACACTAATATATTAATTGTAATTTTGGTTAATCAGTTGTTGCAATAATAAAAAATATTAGTAATCAGAAACACATATTTTCATTAATTGATTACTTTCATGGCATTAACCCTATCGCCCCGGGTACCCTTTACTGCCCATGATGCAAGGTTTTAGTATCTTACATTCAAAATGTTATTAAACTACTTTTTGTTTATGTTATACCATATCGAATAGCATAAAATCTTAGCTAATAATCCATATTTTAATAGTATACAAGTTTTAAGTTCTTAATTCTACAAGGCAATATAAAAATATCTTGAATTTCCACTAGTGTGACACATTTGCTCTTAGCATGTCATCATCCCTATTTTATCCACCACCCCTTAAAAAGTATGAAATTAAACACAAATTACTTTCTATAAAATTGTTATTGCTCAGACAAACCATAATTTTTATAGTCTTCAATTTTGTGTGGTTACAGAGCTATTGAATAGAAAATCAGACCCCTCCTGCCACACCCACCTGTCACATCCTCTCTTTCACAATTTGTTGATAGTTCTCTCTTACGTTTCATTATATATTATTTATAACCAATAGAAAGTCAAGGTTTTCATCTATCAAATGACGTATTGTAAAGTATTGTATTCTGAATAGAATATCATCAATTTCACTCAGTACAAGATTCGTTCTCATGGGAAAGTTAATGACTAGCTTGAATGTATTTAACGGCTCTTGTCTCATAGTTAGAAAGCCAAACAATTTTGTGAGGTAAGTGAATTTGTGTACTTTTTTGCATGTTATTAGTCTATATTCTTTGTTGCTGTATTTAATTAAATTAAAATTATTAATTGCATTATTATAATTATTTAACTGTCCTCGAAAATCGAGGGCAAGAAAAAAGAAGATTGGGTAAGTACTTTGTTTCTTGTTTTTCATATTTATTCTTTATTTATTATTATAAAAGTAACTAAAATCTAAGAATATGGATCTTTTTAAGTTATTTAAGATTAGATTAGGTAAAATAAATAATAATAATATTATAATAAAATTGTTTCATGAGGCACATGTGAGCAGCTCGTAGTAACTCATGGGTAATGTAATTCGATAATGTAACGTGAGCTGCACATTCCCCGAGTGATTTACAACTTATAATGGTGCAAATAGTAGTTAGACATGGTTCAAAAGGCAATAAAACAATAAAATTTAATTATAAATAGATGTATACTTTTACAAACTTAGAGCTTCTTAGGATAAACGAATGTAGTTTCATGTTACAATTTGAAGTCATTCTAGAAAAGAAAAAAAAGGGTAATTTAGGTTTGTTTTTTTTTTTTTTTGGTGGTTACGTGATTGGTCAAATTGATTGATCCCATTTTGAGATAGAGTAGAGAAAATAACAGATAAAGTATAATGTTTTACTGAAAAAAAAAACGTTTGAAATACATTTAGGAGGTTTTAGGGATTACACAAAGGAAATTTGAGATTTTTAAGATGAAGAAAAGTATTTTTAATTTTAACAAAAATTACTTTGCACATGGACTATTCAAAACAAATACTCAATATATTAATGGACAAATATTCATTTTATTTAAAATACTTCACTGAAAAATATGATTTTTTGTATGTATATTAATTGAAAGACTGCCAAATTTCTTTATCTGGGCTGATATTTCTTGGTTGTGCCAAAGGTTCAGTCATCCTCTACTTGATGCATTCACGACAGCATTGCATCATCTGATGCTTTACAGTTTCCAGTTCTGGGTTCAGCTTCTCTAGCAGAGGATACTTTGAGCCCGTTTTTGGAGAATTTTGATGTGTTTGCCTACCCTGTTTTGCAACATTTTTCTTGGATATTGGCTAAAATCAGATGATCCCATTGTCCAGTTCTTTTTATTGCCCCATGCTGGGATGCTTCATCATGGTTTCCACTCCTCTAGTCTGTCTTAGAGGGATTCTATTTCATTACTTTTTTGGTACATCTTTCACAGTGACTTTTGCCATCTTTAGCTTCAGGGTTAGCTGTTATGTGGACCTTTATGAGTAAAGCTTGCTTCACTTTTTAGGTCACTTGAATATTATCACATTCTTGGTGACATTCCTGCATGTCAGTTTACCAGTCTTGTTGGTCTATCTTTTGAAGTCAGTATCAGCAGAATTCAGTTTCTTGTCTTTATCCAATTCATTCCCAGCTTGCCTAATTGTTTTTGCTTGCCTTTTTCATAATACTTATCTGGGCTGCTACTCTGATAATCTTCCACTGGAGTACGATGACATAATAGTCCTTGAACCTGTTCATACAACCACCTGTATCGTGTTGTTGGCTACACAGGTTTAATACACCATCAATTCTCACAAAACGGACACATTAAATGGCATCAAGGGTGAAGAGGTACTCTGCTGAGAAGAATACCTTCTTTCTGAATGTCCTTTAGGCCTGTTTCACTCATTCTCCTTCAAATCCAATTCTGTAATTTAATATCTGTGTATGTATTTTGCTCTGACTCTATATATTTCTTTATTATATGCCTTGTAGTGTGTAGTTTTAAATATTCAGTTGTTTTTCATGTTTCTGATTACAGCGTGGGTATTCTGTTTTTTGTATTTAAGAGGTAAGTATAAAGTCTACCTGATATGAATTTTACATTTCTGCCTCCCCACAACTGAATTTTCATCATAACTGCAACTTTCAGTAAAATCTCAGTTATGGTGGGAAAGCAGAGATTATGTATAATCATCTGAAGCTTGTACAATAAATCATGTGGGAGAATTATGGATAAAGAATGCATGTTCTGCAATATTTAAAGGACATTTGCAAATTTGTTAAATTGTTTTTTTTTTTTAGTTTTTTGAGAGCATGAGTTCAAAATGAACAAGGTAAGGATTTCAGTTTTTCAGAGGTAAGCACCTGTTTAAAATTCATTTGACTTCAAAAATGTAAACATTTATTTAAAAATTTAAGTTTTAAAACTTACACTGTGTAATTCTAAGATGGATGGAACTGATCATGACATGGGAAAACTCAATTTTGTGTACAACTTTTCTTTACTGTTCCTTATCTTTTTGTTTTCCCTAATCTATTCTTTTTTTCTGTTTTATGTCATAGCTTATTTTTTACTTTCCATGTAATAGTGACATTAACATAAGTTTTAATTACTCTACACCTGTATGTCAGAATAAGTCCATTTTCTTATCACATGCATTTCATTCTTGGTCGTCTTGGATATTTTGTTATAACATTGTAATCTAACAGTATTATCTATACATGCAAGTTCCTGAAGCTGAACAAATGAAATGTATTATGTTTTTTATTTTGTTTTAGGAAAACATCTTTGTTTTGTCTGCAAAGTAGGAGAAGATAAGATACGTAAATGCTCAGTAAGTAATTGTGGAAGATTCTACCATGAAAGATGTTTGTTGAAATACCAGTTAACATCGAGAACTGAGGGACGTGGTTTCATCTGTCCTCTTCATACCTGCCACTCTTGTGTTGCAGACAATCCCAAACAGTCTCGCTCTCGAGGTATTTAATTCTCCATCAGTGTTCAGTATTTTTCATACATTCATGTTAAGAATAGTTAAATATAATTAATTCTAGGGGTTGTTTTTCCTCAACAGTGATTAACCCTATTGCAATAGGTATTCGTATTTTACACGACCTTCTAACTACAATGCAACCATAGTGGTATACATATTATGACTCTGAAAATACTTAATGTATCTTCACAAAATTTGGCAAACTTTCAGGAAACATTAAATGTTTTGTAGACAAAAAATCAGAATTTTTAATGAAGTATTTTTACAAAAACTTGTCTGTAATTATATGGTATCAGAGGTTGTCTCCTCTGAGTGCAAAGTTATTTTCAAGTTAAGATTAAAAATATTTTTCTTCATCTGAAAATTTTAAAATTTCATTCTCATAATACCTAAAACCTCCTAAATAAATATTAGATGTTATTTTCATAAAAGTTTTATATTGTATCTGCTGTTTTCTATACTATAACTCTATATAAGATCAGTAGATTTGACTGACCTTGCAACCACCATAAAAATTAGGGGGTAATTGTAATTATTCTTTTTTTTTTTCTGCAAATTGTAAAAAGAAATCACAAATGTTTATCCTAAATAGCTTAAAGCTTAAAACAGTATATACATAATTATACTTGATTTTATTGTTTTATAGTCTTTTGAACTGTGTCTAATAAATAATCCTGCCAGACAAACTGTAAATCATTTGGTGAACATGTAGCTCACGTTACCCTATCAAATTACGTAACACATGAGCTACTCCTGAACCACTCATGAGTATACCATATGAAAATTCTTTATTGTTATTATTATTTACCTTGCCTAATCTAATGTAATAAGTGTTTAATTCTTTTGTTTTTGTTCCTTTTATAATAATGAATAAAAAATACACATGAAAAAAGAAGATATATAGAACTTACCTGGGTCTTCTTTTTTGTTGTTGTTGTCGACTGTCAAGGAAGCTTAAGCTTATTTTTTTTATACTAATGGTACAACCACACTAAATAATTTTTTATTTAATTAAATACTGTACCAAAGAACACATAATAATACTAAATAAAAAGCAGACAATGTCTTATTACTGTCATAATTTTTCTGGCTTTCTAACTATGCAATAAGAGCTGTTAAAAATTCATTTAAGCTCATTAATATGATTCTTGTGAAATAAACTTGAAACTGAACAATGAAACAGACAATGCCCTGTACAGAAAAAAAAAACACGTAATATATCTGTTATTTGATAGATTGAAACTTTGGCTTTTGGTTAGTTATAAATAATATAGTATAAAATGTCAGAAAAACATTAGCAATTTGTAAAAGAAAGGATGTGACAGGTATGTGTGGCAAGAGGGTCTGAGTTTGTAATTTATGGGTCCCTAAACAAATAAGATTGAAGGCTATAAAAATTATGCTTTGCCTGAATAATATCTAAATTATATAAGTAATTTACATTAAATTCCATACTTCTCAGAGGAGTAATAACTAAGTTAGAGAAGAGTGAAGACCTAGAGAGCAAATTTCACAGTTCTCATATTAGGGAAGATGGAGGATTTTTTAAAAAATGTCCTTATATTATTATGAATTTAAAACTTAAATAATATTAAAATTTGATTTATTAACTATATCTAGATGCCAAGTTTATTCATATACATTGATAATTTTCCCAAAAGGAAACTAAAGGCTGACTGAAAGGGCCACATGTTTTAACTACTTTCACTGTCAGTCAGTGAACCACTTGATGCTAAAATGACATCACATAAGGGACCCTTAACTTTGCAATTTGTATTATTATGCGCATGCCATGAATCAAAAGAAGAATTATGCACTTTGTAGGCTACAATACAGCATGACATATGAACTTCAAAAGCAAGAAATAAGAATATTTTTTGCTCTTAATTTTGGTTTTATTTACTCTTGAAACAGAACACTTTCAGGGATCCTGTGGAAGTACACCTAGTGAAGTAGTTTAATTACATTTTGAATGTAACTCTGTAAAATGTAGTGATATGCACAATTTGACCTACCTGTTGTGAAAGGGGTTAATGTATCATACCTTTCCTTTTCCCTAATGGAACTGAACAAAATACCCCCTCCCCACTTGAAAGAAATGTTTTCTTTTTCATAAAAAGAAATTAAACAATAAACTTGTGTAGTTTGGGGTTTAAATGTTTTTCTTCATTGAGAAGTTATATCACTGCAAGTAAATTTTATTCATTATATTTATTTTGAACACTATTAATTTTGTACAAACTATATTAACTCTTTCCAATGATCGAGTCACCTTCCCTCTAATGCATAAAAAAATTTATTCTCGCTTGACTCACTAGTCTTTATACCCCCTCAGTTCAAGCCACTCATTTATCATGCATATTGCATGTGATGATGCTCCACCATTAGGAGCATGACACAAACTCCTGGAACAGTTGGATCTCTCTGTATCATATTTCATGTACCTCACTTTCTCGATTGGCACCATACAAGTCGGACATGTTTCTCGCTTAATTTCAATTTTAAATACTGATTACACATTATTTTTTAATGTGTGAGTGCTTTAATCCTATCTTGCATTATGTCATGATACGGATTTTGATTTTCTGTTTCACACACATTATTGTGTTTTCTACATTTCCTGTTTATTGTAATTTCCAAAACAGTTACAGCTGAATCTGGGAACACCCTTATCTTTATTACTCAGGCCACGGGATCGACATTGTCTGCCGAGGGGACAAATGCTCACTTCCTCTATGTGGCCTGGACCTTCTTTTCCATAATAGTGAATGCATGTTCCGGCTTTTCTGTATGTTCAAGACACAGGTGATTTTACTAGTTTTCTTTTTCCAGTTGCTGTGCCACCAAGTCTTTCACTTTGGTGGAGGTTTCTCTTGTCTTCCTTTCCTCTTATTACTTCTGGCTTCCCCAGTAGTGAGATGGTAAGTATTTTGACTTGTATACTACAAAGTGTGTTGCTATACTCGTGGTAGGCACAGCTCAGGTGCCTGTTGTGTGGCTTTGTCCTTATGTCCACTCTTGAGCATTCAGTATTTCATGTCGTCATTGTTCTGACTTTGTTAGGTTGGTTAGATATTAGTTGGTACTTTGTTTTCTTTGTATATTTAGATAGTTTGTTGGTTTGATATTATTAATTCCTTTGTTGACTAGATACATTTTGATGGTTTTCAGTTTCATAATAATAAGTACTTTGCTAGGTATGTTTAGCTGGTATACAAGTTATATGTCACTAGTATTAATAACTAGTACTTTACGATTATCTCTGAAATAGTAATTTAATTATAATAATTATAAATAGTATTCATTATAAATAAACAGCTAAAAATTTATGGTTATATCTGAATCATTCTTTTTTAAATCATTGTTAAATATATTATGTATAATCCTCATCTTAGTAAGTGTCAGACATGTTTTTAATACTATACACCAATTTTCTACACATAAGCTACATTTTGGGATCCGCCCTCATAGTATCCATGCCGTACTTACTTCTTTCTCTTTAGCAGTTAGTTAATACTTGTATTATTCTGTTGTTTTCCTAATCTCTTCAAATGCTTTGTAACAATTTTGAGACCGCAACAGTGCTTTGTATTGTAATGTTAGTATTGTTTTCCTAGGTTCCTGCACTTTGGTTTTTATTTTTCTTTGGTTTGTGTGCCTTACCTTCCCAAGAATTTCTGTCCACATGCTTTCACCTTTCAGTCGTGGCTGTTCTCATTGGACTTTCCCTACTTCCCTGGTTTATTTGGTGACTGGTTATGTTGGGATGAGACACACTACTTGCGGGGGTTTGTTTTCCCAAATCTTCCCTCTGGGAATTCAAACTGGATCCGTTTGTGCATAATGCAGTTTTTGGGGCCTGTTTTACTTCTTTCATGTCCCGTATCATGGTGGCCATCTTGCTTACTTCCCTTTCATCTTTTACTTGCATCTTGATGTTTTCACCCCTTTATTGTCTTTCCGATGCCCGTCATGGACGTAGACAGCGACAGTGGTCTCTCTATGGTGCAGTCAAATCCTGTGGAGACTGGGTTTCTCTGTTTTGTCAACTTTTGGGAGACCTTCACCTCTGTTAGGTGGGTTTTTGGGTTTTTCAGATCTATTCATTACCAGTGGGTGTCTATTTGATTATTGATTACCATTCCTTTCCTTCCTTCAAGGGATCCTGTCTTCTGCAATTGGTTGTCCGCTGTCGGGTAACATCACTTACCGGGGCCTAAAGTGCCAGTTTTTCCAGTTTGGCTGGGATTTTTTCTCTCAGCCTTTAGTTGTCCCTTCCTTGGCTGATGTATGGAGGTCCGTCATTAACCTCTCCTGTTTCCTTGAGCCTCTGGTTCCACTTCATTCCACTAGGGTGTTGTTTCTGTTCATTCATTGGGTTTTTACACCCTGTCTATGGGTGTCCTTGTTTGACGTTGTAGTTGCACCCCTTCCTGTTTTCTTTCAGTCACCCATGGAGGGGGAGATATTTTTCTGTTCTGGGCTCTTCCTTTTTGGTTTCCCTCGAATCCTTTCTGTGTTTTCGTGAGTAGTCACAAACTTCACTGGACATCTACCAGTGTGAGTCATCTGGTCTCATCTTTGACAAGACAATTTTTTTCTGGCTTCTTCCTGTCTTCAGTCCACATCAGTTTGCTCCTGGAGGAGGCAGATTGTGTGGTTTCTTTCTTTGATATGAGGGATTTTCTCTATTCCCTGTTTTTGATTCTCTTGGGTATTTTCTTCAATTCTTAACATCAATCTAACCCTTCATTCTCCGCTTGGTATTTGGGATATGGAGCATTTCATCTTTAAGGCCCTTTCCTCTCTTTCCTGGCTACATCGAGGCATTCTATATTTTTTGGAGATTTGGGCTTCATTGGTTGCCCTCATACCAGTCCATGGCACTCACACACTACCTTTGATGGGTATACCTCGATTGCTGGCTCAAATCCCTCAGTTCATATGGTTGTATTCCATTCTCTCCTTTGGTCCAATGTTGTTTGG